CCTCTCTGGGAGAGGGGCCGTTCCTTCTGGAAGCCAGCAACCTCATCCCACTGGGAACACACACACAGGCAGTAAGCAGCCCCCTAACTCCCACCCTCCATCCAGCCTCGACTGTTTTCAAAACAAACAAAACAACACGCATGCACTGAGCTTTAAGATCAGATAGAGTCAGCCGGAGTCACCAGCACGGGAGGTTTGGACAGAAGGTTCCAGGTGGGCTTGTTCCCTACAGCCCCCCGGTCCTTCTTCCACCCCCCACAACCAAAACTCCTCTGTCTGGTTGCTTCTGCCCTCAGCCTCGCCAAGTGCTGATCCCTGATAAAATTACCGCCTCTGTTGGATGGGCTTTGTTTTGTAAGGGTGTAATGTACACATTTCCCAGCTGAGCAGTCTTCCCTTCATTCATTCATTCATTCATTCACCACCAGCCACCGCCTTCCAGGTGGCTGGGCAGCACCATGAGAGGCATCTCTGAGCCCGCTGAGCGATACCACTTACTCTATTAACAGTGAAGGACAGGAGGAAGAGGGGAGAGTTAAGAAGACAGCAGATAAGTGGGAATGGCTGACTGGCTGCCAGTCCCCACAGGGGCACTTTGGGGGCTGCAGCAGACAGTCGTCTCGATAAAGTACCATTTGGTGATCCTCTCCCACGTCTTAGGACTTCGCATGGATTGTCTCCAGGACTCCCTGAGGCCACACACGAGCCACCTGCTCCATCTGCCAGTGAGGCTGGCCCTGCTGACAGATCTCTCTTGGTCTGTGTGGCTCTGTGTTTCTGGAAGGTTCACCTTCTGAAGCTTGAGGCTGGAGAATGAGCCCCACGCTTTCTCTAGACTGTTGTCTGACTTGGACCATCACGTACATTATCCCTGGGAGATAAAGAGGCTCTGTCTGAGGCGAGCTCCCCTCAGCTTGAGGGTGGCACCTATGGTAGCCATTGCTGTCGATTCCGAGTCACGGTGACCTCACATGTGTCAGGGTGGAACTGTGCTCCACAGGGTTTTCAGGGACTGAGTTGTCAGAGGTAAATCTCCAGACCCTTCTTTTGAGGTGCCCCTGAGTTGACTCAAGCCTCTAGCCCTTCGGTTAGCACAGTAGCTGTTTGCATCACCCAGGGTCCCCACACTCACAGGGGAAAACACAACATGGTGTGTGACCCTGAGCACACCCGGTGTGAGGAGAGGTCGGTCCACAGTCACTGAGTCAAACTGAATGTGTCCATGACAGGAAAGCACATGCAGCAGCCCTGAGGACAGAGCCTGTGAGGTCAGAAAGAAGCCCCTTCCCCACCAGGGGATGGCAGGGGTGGGGGGAGTACATTACCAGTAGTAGAGCATGAAGAGGAATGTGGGCAGGGAGACGGCCAGCTGGAGCCACCGCCAATGGGGCAGGGCATAGGCAATGCCCACAAGTAGCACAAGGCCAATGGCGAAGGACATCTGGTACAAGATGGCCACCATCCTCCTGTGGCCCAGGCCAACCAACTCTGTGACTGGAGAAGAAGCCGTGTTGGATATGGCCCTCGGGAGGGGGAGGAGCCACACTGGCACTCTCAGAAGCTGCTGTTCCCAATCCCTTCTGCTCTCCTCCTGCACCTCCCCCACCCCACCCCCACGGCCCTCTGGAGGTGTCCTCCACCCCTCCTTCCTCACTGACTGGAAGGCTCACTTCCTCTATGTGTCCTGCTGTTACCAAGTCTCAGGTTCCCACAACACACCGTGCTGTACTATTCTCTGACTGTTGTCACCTGGCTTGTCACATTGTTCCTCCGGTCTAGATCTCAGGACTCAGGACACTGGCGTCTCCTCCCAACGCCTTTCTTCCTATAAGCTCCCGGTAATTTTTCATAACACAAGGAGTGCTCATTCATTTAGGCACAAAGGTACTACATATCCAGCACCGTTCTAGGTGTTTGGGGTTCATTGGTGAGCTAACAAATGAGGAGCCCTGCCCTACAGGTCTTTACATTCTTGTAAGCCATGACAGACATAAACCCTACAAATAAGGAAGCTGTATGTGAGCAGCCCAGGCAGTACCAGTGGTTTGTAACTGGCTGCTAACCCAAAGGTTGGTGCTGCAGACCCAACCAGCATCACCATGGGAGAAAGGTCTG